TAGAGATTTAAATTTAAATTGTCATATCGAAAAAAAAATTGGTCTAAAGAGTTTAGACAGTACTTCCCTCGCTGTCGGAAACGTGACGACTGCATGTCTATTATGTTTTTTTTCGCAGTAGATTTCATTATTTTTTTTGAGTCACCCGGTATATGCAAATTCAAAAAATATGAATGGAATGATAAATTACAAGTACAGACTCATCATATTTTGTATATTCTAGATAGGATTTATTTGGCAAAGTTTTGAGCTGACGTCATCAGTTTTTTGTAGAAGACCCAGTAAACCAGTTGTGATGTTGACGTGACAGGTACGTACTCACAAAAGAACAATAAGTACATCGCATGATTATGTCTTAACGATATACCTGGAACGTAAGCTATATAACATCACAATGGAGTACTCATGCTATGTAACAAACACGTAATGTTGACTACATTTACTACATATCTCATTATTATGTCGCAGCGATATAGCTTGCATATAAGCATTTAAACATCACACTGTGGTACCCCTGTTATGTAACTAACACCTAATGTTAACTGCATTTACTAGATATCTCATTATTGTGTCGCAGCGATATAGTTGGCAGGTAAGCCTTGTAACATCACAATGGAGTACTGCGTTTTTCAGTTGATTTTACAAAATGGCATGTTAAATCGAAAATTAACGTTTCTGACAGGGCAACAGCAAAAAACATTTAAAAACATACATATCGAGTATTATATAGCTCTATTTTATATTTATTATTTATGTTTGTGTTGCAAGTAAATAGTATATTCATAAACAAAAGATGCTGAGTCTTAAAAAAAGAAATTTCTTCCCTGTCTTAAAACTTGCACAACCGAGATGACGCCAATAGTGAGTTGCTCTTAAATTTTTTTTTCATATTATATTTCCTGTAATTATATTTATTTATAATTTTATTTTTATATGTCCATAACGACCTGCGCTTTATAAAACAGAACAAAAGACTTAATGCACATAGTTTATGATCAGAATTAAAAAATGTTCGATCTAACAGGTAATACGAATTAAGACTAGTAATGAGACATTATTTTTTAACCTCTGCCTATGCGTCACTGCCAAAAAGGAACAATTATACATATACAGAATTTTGAAATGAGCTCGAAAAATAAAATGATATATTTCATTATTTTATTAATTCTAATGCAAAATATGTTGATCGGCAACAAAAGCAACAAAAAGAAAAAAATCGAAATTAAAAAACTAATCTATTTCAAGGTCAGCGATATCGTTCTTAAATAAAAATGAATTAAATAATTTCTTCACTTTCATCGTAAGGAAAATAAATAATAATTTGAATACGAAACAATAATTGATCATCGAGTTTTGTGTATTGACTTTCGCACTCAGTTATAGGTATATCTGTTTAACATTAAATTTTCAAAAGTTTAGATTTTTCCAATGTAATCTTGGGCTCTAAAATAAACTGGTAATGTATAATGTATAATTATAATTGAGTATTTTCGTGGTTGATCTTTAAATTATTATTTATTCAAAAAATTCACTTAATTTCATATCCAATATGTAACTAACTGAAAACTGATAATAAAGCAGCAGATATGACGAAATAGTGTAGACTTTTTTTAATGTCGGTAATAGAGTGTATGTATAATAACTAGAGAGCGGAAAATATGCAGCAAAATTTTGGGAAATATGATCATATGACATGCATCAAATTTATGCAAATATGCAATAACTTTCTTAATATATGCAGAGATATGCAATTGCATATGCTCCAAAAATAAAAAAAAGCGTAATAACCGAACTAAATTTATTTACAAATTGCAAAAACACCTCACCTTTTATTACAAAAAATACATAAATCACATTGCAAAGTGTTTAATTAGATCTCACTGACAAATAAATTACATTTTTTAAGATAATATTCTTATACTCAAAAATAAATATTTGTAAACAGAACGAATTAAAAAATAGTAGTAATCGACTATTTAATTACTATTTTGGTAACAATTTATTTTTAAATATTTTTCGAGATATTCTAACAAAAATTTTTCCGGTGATTCTAAAGTATGTATTTGTAAATAGAAAAACTGCGTACTGCGTCCACAGATGTAAAAATACTCATCGGATTAGAGCAGTCACAACAAAACACAGTTCCTTCTTGAAGAATAAGTTCAGGAAAAGGTTTAATTCATAAATTAATTTGAGTTATCTACACATTGACACACATCTCTATCGCTTTAAATACTTAAATGCAAACTCACGATGAAAAATAATAGGATAACGTCCCTTCGACCATCATAAAACACCATTAATACAACGAACAAAAATATTGAAATGAACGGTATTTCCAAAAGTAATTAGGACCCGAATTTACCTGTAAGGATGGCTTAACACCCGGTGGTTCCTCGAAACTACTATAAAACCCAAACCTTTCCCAGTTATTTGAAGCTCAGGACAATATTTGCAATATGATTAATGAAATTTCGTTTTTCTAGAAAAATGCCGATCGAATGGCATTTTTTTTTCAAAGTAGCACAAAAATTGATAAAAATGCAAAATATGGACCCGTTACGTGAAATATGCAGCAGAAGGTAAATATATGCAAATATGCAATTTTTTTATAGCTGTTACTTAGTTTATATCGTGGATTTCAAGCCGATTGACTCAGTCCGATCCGATTGAAACTAATGGTATAAACGCTGCAGATCGAATGTTGAAGCGGATTGACTATCAAATTTCGATCTGACAAACTAGTCGGATCGAATCGAACCGATCGGATCTAAGACGGATTCAAATGCTTGAAGATGCGATGTAAACGGGCTTGAACTTTTATAGGTTTATTATTTATGTTGACCACTTCACAGATAAAAAGAAATAATGTTACACTATTATCTTTCTCCAAACGTCAAACTCAAACCAATTTCAAACTACAAATCAGTAGATCGAACGGACTGTTTTCCGTGATATAAGCGCCCGTAGATTAAAGTGAGTTTGACAATTTCGATCGTCTCGAAATTCGATCGGATCGAAATCTACGATATAAACAAACTATGTATTCATTTTTAATTAGCATGATTCGTTCACATATTAAATATCAAGACTTATATGCAAAAAATAACGGATATGCAAATTTCATAAAATCCGCTCTCTAATAATAATCAATACATCGGGTATGTTTCTGTTGTTGTCTTCGTTGGACACCACTGTATTTACAGTATCTAAGCAGGTATACGTTTCCGCCCCTAAAATCCCACGTACGGCATCCTTTGCCCACGTAAATACAGTACCTGGAATGAAAACAGAAACAGAAATACCTTTTACAACACCTTATCAAAATTTAAAAAAACCACTATGGTATTATTTGAAATTTATTGTTAAAGATTATATGGTCAATTAGATGTGGGTCGTCGTATTCTTTAAAAAGTGACCTTCGTCAGTGAGTTCGTAATGCTTAATTAATAATTATATTCAGAGCGAAAAATACAACGGCTTTATTAGAAATATACCAAAGACAAGTTTTTTTCATTGTAATAATTTCTAAGAATTATTTCTGTAAACTTGTTTACTTGAAATGTTATTTTGTAAGTACCTGCTTGGCAAATGATAAATAGAACATCTGTAAGGTGACCAGATTTCAAAAGTCCGAAATCGGAACATTAGTTTCCATTTCCATCGTAATCTGATATATAACTGCTTTGAAAATTTTTAGTTGTAATATACTAACAGTACTGACATCTGCTGACCTTTAAAACAGTGCTGACAACCGTATCGATACAAGTTTTGTTCCCAATTTTTCACAAAATAAAATTACTATTCATGAAAATTAGTGCTTTATCCGAGGATTTATCTTTATTCTTATCAGATTTATAGAAATCGGAACATTCACGGAACGAATATTTTAATCGGAACATTTATTAGACGAAATTTTAAATCGGAATTATTAGAGTATTGAAATCGGTGCACTTCCGATCAAATCGGAACGTCTGGTCACCTTAAACATCTGGGGTAATATAAGGAAGACCCAACGACACAAACAAAGCCATAAAAATTCTTTGCCCATTGTCCCTGAAACGGGACAAGGTTTTGAAGAGTTCATTCGTCGAATTTTGATTTTATAAAGACGTTTATAAAGCGATGATGGGTAGCAAAAAAACTAGAGTGGTTAATTTTGATTTTATTAAATTTATTTTATCTAATGAAAAAATAACGCTCAACTTCTGCATTTACTATCCACCAGATGTTTGGGGGGTGCAGTCGGACCTTTGTTAGTTTGGTTTGTCTATGAGTCGGACGATCCCTTTTTTCCATATTTATGGTTATTGCACTTCACACTCACAGTGAAGCTGTCGAATTCCATTAGAGATGGGCAAAATCGTTCCACGCGTGGAGCGCTACAACCGCTACCGCTACAAGAAAATAGCGCTCCAAGTAACTAGTTACTTTGGAACGTATTCATCACGAGTGGCGTTTGAGTACGACGCTTCCACTTGTCCGCTTGGAACTTGGAACGAATGTTCCAATCTCAAGTACCAATATGTAGCGAACGGACATTCTGGACACAATAAATACTGACAACAATTAGGACGGGCACTCTACTTTCATTTTAATAAAAAAAATAATAAAATAAACAAAACTACAAATATTTTTATAGTCTTGTTTTCGCAACTTTCTGTGTTAATTCCCAATCTTCTACTAGACTGAGATTTTACAATTTTTTTCGGTTCCTATTGAAATACATGTATTCAATTAAAACTTATTTATGAACTATTTTATACCTAAGCTTTTATATCTTTTCTGATAATGAGTCATTTATATCGACCGTCGCATTCTTACAAAAAATTATCGAATATGCCGCCCTCAAACAAAATACAACACTTGCTGATTTTGCCGATTGCTTTATGATAAAACCGCTTTGCTTTTTATTTTATCTATTTTTTTAAATATTGTTAAACCTTTACTTTTGATCTGCGTTGCATATATTTTGTTTTTCTTTTTTTTTTCATAAATATTATAAAATAAATACCTATTTATAAACGTTTCCTGATATCTTTTTTTGTGTTGATAAACACACAATTATTTTAATGACTGAAAGATTATTCTCTTTTTTTTTCAGTTCCCAAGCCCTCACTATTTGCGTTTCTTGTAACGTTCCGGACAAACGTGTTTTATGATTTCGTTCCTTGAATTTCCGTCCCGTAACTCCCGTACAAATATCGTTTCAAGTTCCAAGTGGAACGCAGAGTGGAACGTGTTACTTTTGTGGCGAGGAGCGCTACACTCCGCTACTCGATAGTAGCGCTACAATGGAACGGTTCCTAAAGTAACGACCCATCTCTAAATTCCATTTGGCCATTTGGGTCACAACCACCGAACCTTTCTCGTGAATCCGTAACTCACTTCATTTTTAATGCAGTTTTGTGAAAATTGTGTGGGTTGAATTTACACTAGGTAAGTTAATATAATTCTAATGAAGCAATCATTTTAATTTTTACATGCTTCTGTTGTTTTTGATAACTGTACGTAAATAACAACAACAGTTTTTTTAGACAAGCTGGAAATACCACCATTAATCACTGAAGATACTCCCGCTGATTTTGAAGAACTTACGGTGATTGTTTTTGAAAGTGAGGCGCTTTGCCATAACATGTTGCAAAGGTATGTTACTGCAATTTTTTATGAACTAGGTGCTAATGAACATAATTTTACTCTAGACTTGAAACAAATACAAAAAATATGTGCCAAACAAAAGAAATTTTAAAGGAAACGAGTGAACAAATCTCCAATATGAAAACGTCATCAAATGTGACAAATCAAAAAGAAAACAGTAATAGAAGATATGCCGCCAAGACCACAGATAAACAAATTTTGAGGAATTAGAAGATTATCTCTGCCTACTACAACAACCAGGTTTCTTTGTAAGTTAAAAAAATACAATTAGTCCAGTCAAATTAGCGATCAACCTCGCAATGAGAGATAATAAGCTGAATTTTCGTATATACCTTCATTTTAGCATTCTAAAAGTTGTCTCAAAAGTCTCATAAAATCTCGTGTCTGCGTCGTAAGTTATTCAAGGTCAAAGGTCAAGAAAAACATTATTTTGCGATTATCTCGGTTTCTATTGCTCTAATGATGTTAACACCTATTATCATAATTATAGAGCACAAAATTTGGGACAAATTTTATTTGAAACATTTTTTGATATACTTAATCGTTTTTGAGATAGAGGGCAGTGGGCGCGCAGCGTTCATCCATTCATACTGTAATGCAATCAACCGTGAATATCTGTGAATACTATCTTGAATTTTGAAAAATTTGTATTATTTACCTATCAGTTAATACATTGTATTTAATAACATTTTGCATATTTTCAATACATTTATTTAATGATACTTACCTACTTTGTATAATTAAAAACTCTTTAAATGACATATTTATTGTAGGTATATCTTAGGTTAGATTATTATATATCTTAAAGTTATATTAATTTTTTCAAAGTAAATTTTAAGGAAGTAAAACGAGTTAATATATTTTAATTTTATCTTTATTCAGCAGCTGTAGATTTCTTACGATTGAAATTGAATTGCAGTGAAAATCTATAAATTTTTAATATGTAATTTAAAAAACAAAAGTATCAATTTTCTTCTTCTTCATCGTCATCTTCTGGACGTTCGGGAATTTCTGTTTCATCGTCGTCATCTTCGGTGCCCTGAATTGTTGTTTCCAGACCTTCCAGTTATAATCATGATAGAAAAATAAGTATTTAAAAACTTACACATTTTAAAGATATAAATAAATTGAGATATACAATAAATATTTCATTAAATGAGTTTTTAATTACACAAAGTAGGTAAGTATTATTCTATGAATATATTGAAAATATGTAAAATGTTATTAAATACAATGTATTAATTGATTAATAATACAAATTATTCAAAATTCAAGGTAGTATTCACAGATATTCAGTTGATTGCATTACAGTACGTATGGACGAGCGCTACGCGCTCACTGTCCTCTATCTCAAAAACGATTGAGCGCATGAAAAAATATTTCAAATAAAATTTGTCCCAAATTTTGTGCTCTACAATTATGATAATAATTGTTAACATCATTGGAGCAATAGAAACTGAGAGAATTGCAAAAAACTGTTTTTCTTGACCTTTGACCTTGAATAACTTACGACGCAGACACGAGATTTTATGAGACTTTTGAGACAACTTTTAGAACGCCAAAATTAAGGCGTATACAAAAATTCAGCTTATTGTCTCTCATTCCGAGGTTGATCCCTTTTTTATGCTAAAATGACTGGACTAAATATATTTATATATACTTACATATAACATAATTTTGGATATTATATACAGGTAGATGCCTGTAATACTATAACACTTTTTAGGAACCTACTAAACATGACACATTTCGCTTAATACGTTACATACATAGTGGGTTGCAGAAAAGTCTTATAGTGAAGCACCCTGTATGTTATACATACGCGGTGACTTCCAAATAGATTCGGAAAAAAAAATCCTTTAATTGTCACACGGATTCAAAGTAATTAAATTGCTGCTCCAGTTTCAAGAAACAAATACGGAACATCTTGTTAAATGTAAATGATGCGGCAATGATTTATTCAGTTTCCATTGTGACTAAATTTTTTCTTTATTTTTGCTGTGTGTTGCTTAGATGAAAACAAATGGCACTGAATGAGGTGTAGATCTTGATATTTTTTCCCCTGAATTAGGACTAGATAAAAGAAATTACTTAAAATTTTCTCTACTTCGTGATGTTGTGGTTTTATTTTCCGAACTTATTTCAGAGTCACTCGATATATACACATAAAAATATTTTCTTCTTTTCTTATTTCAGGAACTGCTATTGTCCCAGATAGGTGGTAATGGGAAAAAGAACAATGTGGGGCGTGTATTAAAAAATATATTTTTCACCGAATTTGCTGTAGCTTGTTTGTTCGGTAGGAAAATTCCAAAATGGCTGGGACAAAAACAATGAATATTATGAAAGGTATTTTTTTGCAATAAATATATTTATTACAATTTTTATTTTTGAAGAAATTACAATGAAGACCCATTCCGCAATAGAAAAAGAAGTAGAACAACGCTGCTCAGAGTGGCTACGGCATTCTAGTCAACGCCTGAAGAAAGGAAAAACAACGACAGTTTATAGTTTCTGTGTCTTTTTTTAAGTGTAAATTATATTGTATTATTTTCGAATTAGGAAATCATATATATATTTATTTATTTATATTATGAATTTATATTAATTTTTGTATTTTATTACTTATTACATATTATATTTTTTCAAACATTGAATAAAATAATAATTTATTGTAAGCTCTAAATTTTACTCTCCATATCCATATCCCTAAATGGTAACTAGACTTTTTGAAATGCCTATTCATATCGCATAGATCATGTTAATAAAATATACTGAGAGTTATATGTTTACGATGTTGCGATATATGCGTAACGTCTATGTCCATTTAATACGTTATATTGGCGTTTAAAATAAAACGTAACAGATACATCAAAATATAGAGAATCTAGCGACATACTAACACAACGTTATGATGATGTACCAGCGAGCACGTCTCTAGTCTGAAACAATGTGGATGTCACCAGTATGTTACAAGCATGGGTCACTGTTGATTACATTACATAGCACAGGGAAAGCAAATGTACACAGTTTGGTATGTAACAGCTAACAAGATCCTAGACAGAGTTAAGTGGCATTAACATCGCTACGACGTAACTGTGTTTACTGGGCGATAACCAAATATATTTTGACTAAAAATTTAGTATGCTCTTTATAACCTTAAAACATTTGCAAGATTTCAAAACATTCGGTTCGGGAGTTCCTGATTAAATCAATAAAATACATTTACCCATTCATTAATTTTTTTGGGTCACTCTGTATATGCAAATCCAAAAACTATGAATGGAATGATAAATTACAAGAAAAAACTCATCATATTTTGTACATTTTAGATAGGATTTATTTAGCAAAATTTTGTGGTGATGTAATAAATTCTTTAGGGGGGATGAGCAAATACATTTTGATCAAAAACTTACCATGCTTATGATAACTTTAAAACACCTTCAAGATTTCAAAGTATTCGGTTTTGTAGTTCCTGAGTAAATCAATAAAATAAATTTACGCATTCATTAATTTTTTTGAGTCACCCTGTATATGCAAATCCAAAAAATATGAATGGAGTGATAAATTACAAGTACAGACTCATCATATTTTGCACAGTTTAGTAGGATTATTCGGCAAACTTTCGAGCTGACGTCATCAATTTTTTGTAGGGGATAACCAAATATATTTTGAGTAAAGATTTAAGATGCTCTTTATAGCCTTAAAACATCTGCAACATTTCAAGACATTCGGATTATCAGATTCAAAATTAAATTGCAAAATGTTGTTTTATAATTTTGATTTTTTTTTCCAAAAATCTGGACGTTTCGGGTAAAAACTCAATTCTGAGTCGTAAACTACATGTTTAGGACTATATTATTTTATACAATTTAAAACCCATTACTATGTACAATTTTGAGGTGACGTCATCACATTAGTGGTGGGGATGATTAGACAAATTTTGGTTAGCGTTTTACCATCTACATGATATTCCTAATATAACTACAAAATTTCACAACAATCGGTCCAGTACTTTCGGAGATTATCTGTCTAATAAAATCCGGGACGGCAGACAGACGGATAGACGGACGGACAGACGGACAGACGAACAGACAGACGGAAATGGGAGACCTATTTCTTCGTCTTCTAGGGGTCATGAAAGATCGAGAAAACGTAAAAGTAGAGAGTCGGCCGACGGACTCGATTACAATACTTCCTTTGTGTGAACTATTCAAAATTTCTCTCTATGAGTATATTTAAAGTGCGCGTCAAAGTTAGGGATATCCTAATTAATTTAATCTAAGCCTACTCAATTGTTTCCAAAATTATCAAAAAACTAATAATAATCACGTCTGAAGCTGTTGTAATAAATTATAGTTCATTTTTTAACGGCGTGGAAATATTTAGTCAACCCAAAACACATATTTTACAGTTAACCGGACAATTTTCATAATGTTGAACAATTTTGAATCGACGTGTTTCGCAAAACAAAATAAACCTCAACTTTGACATGAAGTTATTTTCAAAATTGAACAAAACTAACCTAAAATTTTTTGTTTCATTCGTTTAAAGTGTAACTTGGATAAAACATTTTATTCGAATTGCAAATTATGTATAATCAACGCCGCCTTCGACGTCACTCTTTGTTGGTGTATATTATGTTGCACAATTTTGTCCATGCCCTCAAAAATTAAACCATATGGTGTGATTTTTAAAATTCCTGCTCTAGTTGGCCATGTGTTGTACATATGTAGGGGAACGAGGGGCTTGTTGTAACAGGGGTAAGTTGTAACACTAAATTTTTTCCCAGAATTTAAACTCTTTAACGTCAGGTTTTTTAATGAATTTAATTTTTGCACCATAAGACATCATGTCATCACAACCACTGTTCCTTCAGCCAACGCAGTGAGTGGATGTGTGCACGTGCTTCGTTTTGGCCAAGTAATGTAAAATATTGCTTTAGTAAAATTTGGTTTTTCGTATCAGTTATTAATTAATTTAAAACGTTTAGTTTTGCATGTAGATAAAAAAATACTCAACTTTAATATTCCTTACACATTTTGACGCTAAGCCACATAATTTTGTCGAAATGTAATTAAATGTAGAAAATTGTACTACGGGGCATGTTGTAACAATACGCTTGGGGCAAGTTGTAACATGTTACAACTTATCCCAAATTCACTTCTACAAATTTCTTACCTAGCATACGAAAAGCGAGCCAAAATTTTGACCTATGCCATATATTGCTTTCCAGATATATTAAGAAAAAGGAAGACAAAACTCAAATCTTTAATGTTGACTCTTCTTCTAAAAGTTTAGTTCAGTTTTACTGAAAAAAAATGTATATAATGAAGTGTTGTGTTGATTTTTGAAAAATAAAGTCTAAATATGTATCAACATCAGCTTTATTTTTACTGGTACTACCTGTCTCATGGCTGTTACAACTAGCCCCAACCACGGGGCAAGTTGTAACACTGCACTTTTTTTAAGAAAATGCCTGGTGTGAAGTAAAGATGAAAAATTTTGACCTTTTGCCTGTTCAGTCCAATAGGGGAATAGTTAGACTACCGATAGATACTTTTATAATGGTCAAACAGCTAATAGATACCAAATTATATTCGTTTTCCTAAAAACTGTTACAACAAGCCCCTCGTTCCCCTACGTCAGCAGTGAAAAAGGAACAAATTTAAAAAATCACTCGATATATATTATGCGAAGTAAATTATGTCTAGTTTGACAGAAGTGTATTTTGTTTCACCCTCCTGTCGAAGTTTCATTCATTTCCTTTTTTTTAAAACAATTTTTTAAAAAAAAATCGTATTTATATAAAAGTAAATTTGGTAACGAACTGTATAAGCTTACTTGCTTACTCGATTTTTGCGTTTCCTTTGCATCAGGTACACATTGTTGTCAAATGGAATTTTATCAAATTATGTACAGGTACACATTGTTGTCAAATGTAATTTTATCAAATTATGTCTAGTATTTGCCATTTCTATTGAAACACCACTTGTTGATCGTAAATTTAGCAACGTTGATATTCAGATAATTTTCTAACTAAAAGGCGTTGTCAATCAACCGAAAGCTGTTACCAATTGCTAAATTTTAAGCAAAATCAACAGGTGGTGTTTCAATAGAAATGCAAAGACAGTATTACAAAAAGAAAAAAAAAATCATAACGTTGTACATTCCAACTGAAATAGTAATTAAACATGCTCATGAATGACGGAAATATTAAGTAAAATTGTTATTACAATTTATGGTGATAAATGAACGTGTTAATTAGCTATTAAACATAGTAAAAGAACCAACATTAAGGGCGTAACGAATCCGCGATTTTGCAGACAACGGGTATATTGCTCTAAAACAGATAAGTCATCCGATGGCAAACAAAAGTTCGGTAAAGCTACTACATTTGGAGTCTTCTAAGAGAACACTTTTAGGGATTATTTTCTAATGATACTAGGTTCAGAACAGGCTGTTTTTGGCATATGTATTATGTAAAATGTATTAAATGATCACTTTGGAACAAAATTTTATAAATTAAGCAGGTCTAATGTATATTTTTAGTTACCTTCTTTAATAGAACATTGCCTCAAAAATTTTTTGTAATAAAAAATAACATTTCTCCTAAACTAAAAACAAAAAGGAATTGGTAGTAAAGAGAATACTTTTACAACGTTTACAACGCTCTTTGAAGCGTGATCAATATCCCGTGCATGTCAGGGCGTTTTTTTTTAATTTCCTGCTAAACCAGTTTTTCATAACGCGTTTCGTTATGCGATTCATCAGTTTTTTTGTGAACTCAAATTAATTTTGATGTCTGTCATATAACACAAGTCATAACTTCACTGTGTCCTAGAATTTGAAATCCCTAGAAAATGTATTCATTCAAGCCCTTTGCTATTAACAGGAACTAAATGACGAGCCCTTTGAAGATGTACCCTAAGATAAACGCTGTGCTGTGTTCTGAAGTTGAATGTCCATGATTTCTTTACTTAGGACTCAATTTCCAGTTGACTTTGCATTAATTTAAAATTAATCATTTCATTTGTCAAAGTCAGGAATGTAATTTCCTTTATTGGTTACAACTCAGCTTAACCATTAACTAGTCTTGGGTGCCATAAACCAGAAATTTGCTCTTGCCACATCCTCTTTGTTTCCCGCAGTTGAGCTAATGTTCAGAATTAATTACTGTAAAACCGCAAACGTTGTATTTATTTTTATGTCACCAAAAACCCACCACAAGCTAGCCGGCACAGTTAATAAATCTCCCAATAATGTGGGAACAAATCTCTAAAAAAAAAAACCCAAAAATATGTCGCAATTTATGCACACTAGACCCGGTCTAGCCGATCGTCCGACTTTCCACATTTGCTGCCTTCGCCCAAATCGCATTTCTACGCACCAACGGATCAACAAAAAAACCTTCTTGCCTACCGCACGCTGAATCGGTCGACATTTTCACTTCCTGCTAAGGACCGGTTACACCCGCTCGTCGACGTTACGTCCT